TTCACAAAATTCAATACCTGTTATGATAAAAACTCAGATAACTAGGAATAGAGGGAGCTTTCTCAATTTGATAAAGAACATCTTGGGGTGCCTGGGTGGCTCAGTTGGTTAAACGACTGCCTTCAGCTCAGGTCATGATCCTGGAGTCCAAGATCGAGTCCCACATTCGGCTCCCTGCTCAGCAGGGAGTCTGTTACTCCCTCTGACCCTCCCCCCTCTCATGCTCTCTCTCTCATTCTCTCTCTCTCAAAAAAATAAATAAAATCTTAAAAAAAAAAGAACATCTTAAGAAAACCTACAACCAACATCATACTTAATGGTAAAGACTGAGTGATTTTCCCCTAACACTGGGAACAAGGCAAGGATCTCCACTCTCACTACTGCCGTCCAACACAGTACTGGAAGATCTAGCCAGGGCAATAAAATCAAGAAAAGGAAGTTAAAGGCATACAGATGAGAAAGGTAGAAATAAAACTATCCTTATTTGCAACTGACATGATTTTCTACATAGAAAATCCTGATGAAAGAAGTCAAAGAAGATCTAAATAAATTGAGAGACATTGCAGTGGCCATGGGTTGGAGGACTCAACATTGAAAAGATGTCAGTTCTCCCCAAGTTGACATACAGTGCAATTCCTATCAAAATCACAGCAAGAAATTTTGTAGATATAAACAAGATTATCCTAAAATTTATGTGAAAAGGCAAAGGAATGAGAATTGCTATTCCATTTCAATTCCAACTATTCTACACTGGTGGAGGTGCTATAGTACAATTCTGAAACTAGCTATGTAGAGTTGGACCCCACAAATTAAAGGTCATGGTCCCCAACAAGAGTGCTCCCTCTTCAGATGCCAGCCACAAGTGGGGTCCCAGGACACTCACACTTCTCATCAACTGGCTACAAATTGGGGGGTTCCCATAACCTCGTTGGGCTCATTGATGCACTAGAATGACTTCCAGAACTCAGGAAAGTACTATGCTTATGATTATAGTTTTATTATACAAATTAGGGACAGTCAAATTAAAAGACACACAGGACACAGTCTGGGAGGGAATGCAGAACCTCTACACTGTCTGCCTGTGGAATCAAGGCATGTCACTCTCTTGGCACATCGATGTGTTCACCATTCAGGAAGCTCCATTGAGCTTCAGTATCCAGTTTTTATTGGGGTGTCATTATATATTGAATCACTGGCCACGTGAATGGATTCAATCTCTGGTTCCCCCTGCTTCCTCTGTGGGCAGAGTTTGGGCTGATATCATTTGGCCCAAAGTCCTAGGCCTCTGATCACATGATTAGTCTTTTTGGTGACCAGCCTTTATCCAGAGTCATTTTATCTCTTAGCATAAACTCAGATGAGATCCAAGGGGCTCATGAATAACAGACACTCCTATTACTTTGGAAATTCCAAGGATTTACTCTCTCTTCTAGGAACAAGGGACAGATGCCAGTCAAATTCTTTGGTATATTATACTATATATTATAGTAAATGATATAATTATAGTAAATGATATAATATATAGTATAATATATAATATTATAGTATAAATTTCTTTATATATGCTATTATATAATAATAGCTAATATACTATATATTATAGTATATTATGTGATATATTATAGTATAAATTTCTTTATGTATTATATAATAATAGCTAAAATAACTTTGAAAAAGAAGAATAAAGGGGGAGGAACCACTTTATCTGTTTTTTTTTTTTTTAAGATTTTATTTATTTATTTGACAGAGAGAGAGAGCACAAGCAGGGAGAGGGGCAGGCAGAGGCAGAGGCAGAGGCAGAAGCAGGCTCCCCGCAGGCCAGGGCTCTGGGATCATGACCTGAGCCGAAGGCAGTCGCTTAACCAACTGAGCCACCCAGGCGCCCCACTTTATCTGTTTTTAAGACTTACTATATAGCTACTGTTATTAAGACTACGTGGTATTGGTGAAGAGACAGACACATAGGTCAGTGGAACAAAATAGAGAACCCAGAAATAGACCCACACGTGTGGCCATGGTGGTGATTTATATTAATCTACACATGTGACAAAATGACAAAGAGCTACACACATATGTTGTACCAATGTCAGGGTCTGGTTTTATATTGTATTACAGTTATGTGAGATGTTAGCTCTGGGGGAAACTGGGTGAAGGGTACATGGGCTGTCTCTCTAGTATCTTGCAACTTCCTGTGAACTTGCTATTATTTCAAGGTTAAAAGTATAGAAAAAATGGGAGTAAAATAAAGACTTTTCCAGAAAAAAAATTATAATAAAGGATATGGACTGCTTTGCGCACCTCAGTGTACTTTGCTCCCCTCCAGAGCCCACAACCCCAGTTTGAGAATCACAGAGGTGGAGAGGCTGAGTTTGAGTGCTCCTGTGTGCAGATGCTGCCTGCTTGCCCTGAAGAGACCCTGATGGTTGGCGAAGCTTGTCCCAGAGGAGGGCTCCATCTAGTCAAAAAAGGTATGAGTAATAAAACAGCTCTTGCTCTCTCATTCTCCTTGTCAGTTTCTCCCATGCATTTGAGTGCATTCTGCATCAGATACTGCGGGCACTGACCTCTCCTTGGAGAGACAGACGATAAAACAGAATAAGTGCTGCAGGATCACAGAGCAAGGGCACTGGGCCAACTAGTCGACCCGAGGAGGCTTCCTGGATGTTGGGATTCTTGCACTGGATCTAGCGTTGAGCTGGAAACAGTGAGGCAAAGGGGAGGATGTGGGTCAGATGCAGGGAACAGCTTGTGCTGAGGCCTGTAGGGGAAGGTTGGCAGGTAAGGGTTTGGGGTTGAGCCTAGGAGTTCAGGGAGAGGAAGGTGCAGAGGCAGGTGGGAGCTGGACCACCAAGAGCCTGTGCATTAATATAAAGTATTTGGAATTTATTCTAGAATCTCAGGAGGCAGTGAAGGGCAAGAGAGTGGCATTGTCAGAATAACATTTTAGAAAAAGGGTGGGTGGGAGGGGAAAGGCCAGGGTCCAGTCAGGAGGGCAAGGCAGGTGAGAGGTGGGAGGCCTGAAGGAGGACAGGCTATGGGCATGGGGAAGAGGATTCAGAGGGAGGCAGTCTGGAGGGGCAAAGTTAACCAGGGCTGTGTAGACACAATGTGGCTATGATGGTTTCAGAGCCCAAGCCAGGCCCCCTCCAAGAGTCTCTGGAACACAACTTCCTCCTGGCTGCCAAATTGTCCCTGCCTGGACCCTGGGGCAGGGTGGGTCCAGCCCCGGGGCTACCTCATAGCATTCTCAGAGATGCTGAGCTAAGTGCCTGGTCATGGCTTCGGAATGTCTTAATTTCTGTAGATGACTTGCACCAGCATCAGAATTTTAGAATGGGTATGTCAAGGTGTTCACTGCAAGGACCTCCCCCTCTCCAGGGGCTTGTTACTGCGGTAGGTGAAGACCTCAGGCATAGGTCCCACACAAGGCAGTTGCTTTCCTCCAAAGGTGTCTACATTTGTGTGTCTGTAAAAGTCAATCAATTCAAAATATCTACCTTGTTCACGTTTTTTTTCCCCCACTTGTAGAATTTTGGGCAACAGGCAACACTTTATTATGTTACAGATTATCATCTACTATGGGTAATTCATAGAGTATTGTCTGTACCCTTCCAGACTGAGGACTCCTTGCAGGCAGGGACCTGCTTTATTCTCTACTGTGTGTGTCCCCAGTGTCTGGGGCCAACCAGCTCAGTGCTTGCTGATCGCTGGTCTGGAGATTTCACTGCCTGGGGCCAGACATCTCTTCCAGCAGCCTTTGTTTCCATACTTACAGGCAGGCTGTGTTGGGGTCTAATTAGGCTGTAAAAAACACATCCCTGCTTCATGTTTATGGTGGGGTTTACATAAACTTTATATATATATATATGTATGCATAGTTTGCATAAACTATATATGATATACACAGGATAGTATTGGGAATGCTAACCACTGCTTAGCCACTCGGCATTTCTGCTGCCCCCAACCTTTCCTGGCTCAAACAGATGAGCTCTCTGCTTTCATTGCTTCAAGGGATGGGTCAAATTTTTTGTTTCTGACATTTGAAAGCCAGGACCTGTTCATAAGCCAGTATACTGGAGATAGCGCCTTATGAATTAGCCTCGAGCAAGTCTTCCTCCTATCAGACCAGAAAGCTACTCTTAGGGTGGGATTGTGGAGAGTCAGAGGGAAAGTGAACACAAATTAGATGTGCTGGGTTCTGAGAGAGACCCTGGCCCTGCTGCCCAGACCAATCCCCAGGGACAGGGAGGGTGGCAGAAATCCCAGCCAGGTCTGGAAGAATCTGAGAGCAGAGTACACTTTTTCCAGAGTACTCCCAGCAGTCATGCACAAGGCAGGGGAAACTCTGCTGTCCTGTCTGGGTAGTAGGCTAAGGAAGCCTCAGAAGGTTACCTATGGCCCCAACATGGAGGGACAGACAAAAAGATTCCTATGTCTGCCCCCCTGCCTGAGAGGTATCTTAAAACTTTAGTCATGAGGGATGTAGGATGTTTCTCTCGAGCCCTGGACCAGACCTGGGATGCAGTCTTGTGGGTGACCCAGGCTGGAGAGAGAAGGGAAAGGCACACTCTGGTGTGGAAGTGGCCAGAAGACAAATGTGAGGGCCAGAGCTTTCTAAGTCTGGAGAAATGAGAATGGGGGCAGGAATGGTGAAATAAGGCTCTGAGAGAGAAGAGTAAAGGAAGTCAGTTAGTTCTTGCATAGCTCAGACTGTGGATTGAGCTCTGTCCCTACTACCTATGAATGTGCATATATTCAGACATTTTTATTTAAGGAAGCATTGTGTTTTGGAGGCAGAAGCCATTGAATTGGACATTGTCAGATGTTTACTTAGAATGAACAAAAACTATTATTATGTTCTGTGTCCCACTCCGTAAAATATAAAATGCGAGAAACATGATTTCATGGCAAGAGTGATGCTGGCCACCTGCACTCTGTGAATGTGCCTCACTGTCTGCCCTGCTGCACCCGACACGCAGGCCCACCAGTCAGGGCTCAGCCATACCCTCGCTGCTTCTACCAGCTCCCGGGGGCCAGGAACTAGGCTGGGGTGGTAGAAACCGGCTTTAGAAGCAATGCGGGTCAGCAGGAAACAAGTGAGTGAAGCATAGCCAGTGACTTATAAAACCATAAGCAAATGCAGCATGCTGAATGCAGCAAGTGTAAGTTAAAGAGAGAGAGGAGGTGATAAGGGTGGGACATATGTGAAGACAGAAAGGCAGGCGACTTTGATTGAATGCAGCTTGCCCACCAGCTCCAGGTAGGTCTCCCCCACTTTGGTGCTGAGTGCCTTTGCTGACCTTGGGTGGACCATGCCCAGAACCAGGTGCAGTGGCAGCATTTGAGCATGGATTTGCCGAGTGTCTGGTCTGTGCTTCATGGAGATTGTTGGGAGTCAGACCTAACCAGACCTAGAGCCTGCTCCCTAGGAGTGTCAGTTGGGGGTTGTGTTCTCAAATGGAGCATGACCTCCACTCAAAGGCTACCACAGTTCTGTGTAGGATCCTGGCTGTCATTTCGCAGCTCATTGTCTGAGAAAGAAATGATTCTTCCCCATGAAGAAGCATAACCTTCACCTTCTACTCTGGTCACCATCAGGTCAGGAGGAACACAATGGATGCATATCCACTCACTGTCAGAATTAAGAACTGGATCTTAAAGCGTTTTCTCTCTACAATCACAGGTTGACTTTTGGGAGATGCGAGGTATAGGAGAAAGGCAGGCACAGAGAAATGCAGAGGAGGGTCACTTAGCCCTGCCTGAGTTAGATGGGTGAAGAAGGCTCGCAAGAGGAGATGACATGTGAGCTGGGTCTGAAGGGTGAGGAGGCGATGCTAGGTACCCAGGTGAAGACATGGGGGTGGGGGCTGGACATGGCAGCAGGTGCATATGAGTCTTTAGGAAGGGTACATTCAAAGCCCCAGCACACCTGGGGGCTGTGTGGACAAGGGTGACATGAATCAGGCAGCCCCACTGTACCCAGGTGTTTGCTTGCAGCCACAAGGATGCTCAAGGAGCAAAACACTCAGCTGGACCACAATTATGTTTCAGGTATATATGATGAACTAGAGTAGAATAGGTAGGAGAAGAAGATGAGAAGAGAAAAATTCATCATAAAGAAAGAAGGAAGAATCTGGTATAAGGGGAGAAGTGGTTCTGGATGGAGTTGTATTTGCTCCACATCCTCGCCAACATTTGGTGTTGTCCATCTTAAATTTTAGCCATTCGTGTGTGTGTGTGTGTGTATGTGTGTGTGTGTGTGTAGTGTTGGCTCATCATGGTTTTAATTTGCATTTCCCTAAAGACTAATGAAGTTCAGCATCTTCTCATGTGCATTTTGCCATCTTTGATGAAGGGTCTCTTCAAATCATTTACCTGCCTTTTTGTTGTTGTTTCTTAAAACAGGTTGTTCACCTTCTTGTTACAGAGCTACAACAGTTGTTCATATATTCTCGATACAAGTCCTTTGCTTGTCTGCATCCTGGGTAGTTTTTATCCAACTGGATGACCTCATAATGGTCTCTTTGAAAGAGCAGACTTTTTAAATGTTGAAGAAATCCTATTTATCACTTTTTAGTGGGAGCTTAATCTTCAAAATATAGATAAGCCAAAATTTAGAAATTTACTTATCTAATGAGCCCATGCTTGGACGTTTAGGCTGCTTCCCACTTCTTACTGTTTTACTTGTTGTGAGGAATGTCACCGTACTTAAATCTGTGTTCTGTGTTCTCAGGATGCCAGTGCTTGCAAGGCTTTTGTTACACACCCTGAAATGGCTTTCCTAGAGAGAGCTCCTGGTTCCTTGTATGTGAAGCTCAGTTTCAAAGGACCATCCAGTCCTCTTGAAAGTCCCACAGCTTGTTAGTTTGTTTATAGATAAATGAAACTAGAAATGCCTAAAAACATACATGTGCCATTTTGTCCCTGCTCTGTTTGGGAAAGGATTTTTTTTCATAGATAATACAAAGGCAATGCTGGTAAATTTCCAGTGAGCATTTCCAAAGGCTAGAATCTTATTTCTAAGGAAGTCAGTAGTGATTTATTGAAGGAGCACTGGGCAAAGGGCTGTTTGCTTTTCTGCGTCTCTATTTGCCCATTCGTAAAGCTGGAAAAGGTCAGCCTGCTGTGTCTCCCCACAAAGAGGGCCATAGACCAGATTAACTGACAGACAGAGTTCCTGGCCTTTAGGACAGTGTGTCATGATAGTAACTACCATTTATCGAGGCCACTAAGCCCAGGGCTGCGGGGCCTATGTTACCTCTAATTCTCAACAGCAGCCTTGCTTCACTTAGAAGCTACAGGCAGTGACTGGCCCAAGGTCACATGACTAACAGTGGCAGAGCCTGGGCCTTCTGGCTCTGAAGCCTATGATGTTGTTGTTTTCTTGCTCTACTACATTTTAGCTATACACCACACACATGACAGCAAAAGTTTAAAGATATAGAGGTTGATTATCTTAAAAATTTTGCTTTGCTCTTGGAGACTTCATTTGCGGGTGGCAAAAGGGAGTAAGTGGTTCCTACTGGAAACCTTGTTTCCCAGAAGCCTTGGAAATATCCCAGAGCCAGTTGGTGGCCCAGCGACTGGCCTACCCCTGACTCTTCCTGGAGCGTCTGGTTAAATCAGATCAAGGTTGGAGCTAAACATCTGGAGTGGTAGGTTTGAAAACCAGGAGGCAAAGCCTGGGACAAGTCTCCTGTCAGAAGGTCCTCTGGATGGTCGCCCTCCTGTTTCTGCAAGGATCTCCTAGATTATGGCTGCACAGGCCTGGGAAAGCGGATAGATGTCAGTGCTCGACACCAGCTTGAACAGAGATTGTGAACTGCATGTCTTCAGCCTCCTTTTCCACCTTTAGTCTTGACTCCTATCCCTTCACTAGGTACTCATATGTCCTGATTTGCCCAGAACACTCCTGGTTTATGTCTACTATCAGTTGTAATCCACTGCCCCAACCCCTTTTCATTTATATTGATTCAGACAGTTCAGGGAGAGGCACTGCAGAGAAACCCTCACTTGATGATACATCAGGGAGTCATTAGGGTTGTCTCTCAGAAGGGCATTATTATGAGAACATACATTAGCCCTGACTCTTTTGATTGTAAGTGACTTCCAATTGGCCTCAGCAAGGAAAAAAGATATATTGGTTGTCATAGCTAGACTGTTGGAGGTGAGGGGTGGGCAGGACTCAAGCCTGATTGGAAACAAGTTCTCAAACAATATTGTTACATCTGTCTCTCCTTCTCTGTTTCTCTCTCTGTCCACATCTCTCCAACTCTTGTTGATTTCATCTTCTAGGCAGAATCCTCCACAAGGTGGGCAAACTGGCCCCCCGGGGACTCTAGACTCACCTCCTCCCTGCTTAGCAACTCTCTTGAAAAGAGGAAGTTTCCTGTCCTACAGGCTCATATTCCTTCATGCCCAGGGAAGGCTCTGATTGGCTCTGCCTGGGTCATGTGCTCATCTCTGAGCCAGCTGTTACAGCTTGGGTGAATGGCTCTCCTGCGGTACCTACACATAATGGCACAAGGGACAGGGCTGCACCAAACCACACCAAACGAGGAATGAGTCTATAAAGAAAGTAGGTCAATTAGCTGAGCAGACCAAATTGATGGCATCTGCTATCCATTGTATTCAGCCATCATTTACATGGTCACTTCTGATACTCCGGGGGTTTTATGTATAATGTTCATCATTTTCACAATTATGTAAAGAGATTAACCCCCATATTACAGATGAGGCTTGAACTGTTTAAATAATATAGCCAAGGATGGAAAAGTGGTCAATGCAGGAACTGACTTCTGACTCCAGATCTGTCTGATCCTCCTACAATATCCTGGTGGCCTTTTACAAGTGAGAGGGAGTGAGGATAATCTGTCAGGGGGCCCTTCTTGGACATAGATCACACATAGGTTGCCCTGAAATAATGCTTCTGGAAAGACAAATCCCCTTCTGGTTCTGCCTGTAGATTCTCCTGGATTCTCCATCTCTCTTGGAGATGAAGCCTGCTGTCCCAGGAGGGAGGTAGGAAGCTGGCCCATTCCAGTCACTGGAGATGGCCAGGTGCTGAGTGAGCTCAGCCTTGGACCTACACTGTGCCCTGTGGCTTTGGGTAAACCCACCCTGTCTTCTGTGAGTCCTCATCGTTATATAATGATGGCAAGAAGTCTTACTGCTATCAAACACAGGATTCTTCTGACAGTCACAAGAATATAAATAAAAAATCTTGCTTCATAAGCTGGAATGATGATGATGATCATGAGAGCTTCTTATTCAATTCTTGAAGAACAGAAGGAAAACATGGGGGCAGTGTTATTTTCTCTCCAAGGGAAATGGAGGACTGCCCTTTGCTTGTGTGAGTTCTTCGTGATTTGGAAAATCCTTTCCACAGACTTCACAGTTTAGCCATGCAGGTTGGCAGGCACAGCACACATAGTCTGCCTTAATGCTTACTCTTTCTGCGCTGCCATATTGTAGTTTCCCAACCAGCACCCCAGGGGACAGCTTCCTCATTTTGATTCATATTTTTAATAGCATTTTTTTATGATCACAAAAACAGTGTTTGCACAAAATTTGGAAAATAAAAAAGTGAGGAAAAAAACTCACCCTGAATTGCTCCACCCAGAGATACCAACCACATTTGGATAGCAGCTGACACCATATTCATATACAAGTTAATATCCTGCATTATTCTGTTAACAACACATTAACGACATTTCCCCAACACAAAAAACTTCATAAGCATTGTTTTGGCAAATATTTCATGCATTGCTATACTATAGTTAATTGCACGTGGTAATAGGCCTTTGTGCAGAGGTCTGGAAGTAGGCTGGACAGCTAGGCCCTCGGGGTCTTCTGTGCAGAGCTGGAGGGACACAGAGGGGGAGACCTGGGCCCTGAAGGGACAGAAGGAAAGGCAGGCCCAGAACACGTTGCATATTTGCTTGTCTGTTCATTTATTCTTGCCTCGATATTTGAGGCTCCACTAGGCACCAGGTTCCCTTCCTGTTCTCCTGTCAATGCCCACTTCAGGTCTTCAACATCCCTCCCTCAAAGAGCCTCCCTGACCCTTCCCAGACCCCATCCTGTCCCAGATGTAGTGCACTCCTGGCAAAGGGGCCCCACGGAACCCACGGCTGTTTCTGCAGAGCCCAGCTCAGGACTGGTACTTAATAGGTGCTCAGAAATGTTTGGAGACTGAGGGACTGAACTAACGTGAACAATAACAGCAAACAATGGCAATAAATAGCTAACACTCATGTTTTCAGTTTTGCATTATTATAGTTAAGATGACAGAAATCTGTGTGATTAAAGCTTTGCTAAAATTTTAAATTATTTCCTAGACTTGAAATTCTAAGATTGAAGAATGTAGGCATTTTGATGAGTCTTTATACATATTGCAAGACTGCTTTCCAGAAATTCCATTATCTGTTATACTCTCAGAAGCAGTGCTTGTGAGTGTCTATCTCTCTGGTTTAAGTAATGTAATTTAAAAAACTGTTCACTGATTTGATGAAAGTAGAGGCAGGAATGATATATTTCATTGATTTAATGAATGCTTTTTTAGTTTTCTGGTAAGACTGGAATTTTAAAGTTTTTTTTTTTTTTAAGTAATCTCTTTACCCAATGTGGGGCTCGAACTCATGGCCCTGAGATCAAGAGTCACATGCTCCTCTCACTGAGCCAGCCAGGCACCCCAAGACTGAACCTTTATTTTTTTTAAAAGATTTTATTTATTTATGAGAGAAAGAGAGAGAGGGAGCACGAACACGAGCAGGGGGAATGGTAGAGGGAGAGAGAGAAGCTGGGAGGCTGATGCAGGGTCTCGATCCCAGGACCCCAGTATCACGACCTGAGCCACCCAGGCGCCCCAAGACTGAACTTTTAAAACCTGTTTATTGATCATTTGAATCTCCAGTTTTGTGAATTGTCCATTTGTGCCATTTGCCCAGTTATATTGGGATCTTAGTGTTTTTGTTGTGAATTGTGAGAGTTCTATTTTATTTTCAAAAATATTTCCCCAGTTTCTAACACTTTGATTTTTTTTATGTCAAATTTCTTTTCATAGAAATACCTTTATTTTTTGTGTGTGCGTGTGATAGTGAAAACAATGGACTATTATGGTAAAAAAAATTAGACATTATAGCAAATCATAAAGCAGAAAGTAAAAATCTTCTACATTCCTACCCTCTTGGACTTGTAACTAACATTTTTGGAGCATGTCCTTCCAAACTTTTAACCTTATATGTTAACAGTATTTTTTGAAGTTTAAAAAACTGAAATTTTTATGTATCCTCAAGCTAGCATTGTTTATTTCAAAATATCTTCCAATGCTTTTGCATTTAAAAAAGCCTTTCTAATCTAGAGATCACATTAAGAATTACCTTGTTTAAAGATAGAGCTGTGTATGTGTGTTTAGTTATGAAGGCCATATAGCATATTACGGAATATTTAGGAAATTAAGAGGAAAAAAATCAGCCATAATGCTTTAACATTAAACACGTCTATTTCTTTTGTGCATGGTCCTTTTGAGTCTTGGATCATGAGCACTTGTATTTATTTTTAGTGGTTGCAAGGATAGTGCATGCACAGTTTTTGGTCTTCTCCTTTTCACTCACAATTATACCGTAAGCATTATTTTTATGTTGCTACATCTCTGTAATGGTTGTTTAGAATGATCCCCCAATGGCCCCTTCGGTCGCTGTGCAAGATTCTATCCTGCTGATAACCATCTAAGTTGCTTCTAATTTTTTTGTCAAGTGATATTTTGAAACACCGAAGTCCAGCGAAGCAGAATCTCCCACTGTTCCCTGGGAGCCAACTGGAATACAGTTTGACTTCTGCCCATTTCCTCCTTTCTTCAGAGGAATGTTGGGAGAAATCACTCTTAGGGAATGGTTAGGAAAACGATAACCATAAAATTAGGAAAAGAGACCATGAGGTAAAAGCACATTAAGCCTTTAGAAGAAAGTTGCTTTAGCAACTCAGGCCGGGTTGTTTAGGTTTTGTTTTTGTAGCTCACGAATTGGTCATGAGTTTATAATAATTTTGACAAAATGCTTTCCATTTGTGCAGTGCTTGGTGTTTTTTCTGGGAAGCAGTTCAGTGTCTCAGCTGAGGACTTTAGTGCAGGAAGACCTGGATTTGGATATCTGCTTATCTCTTGTGACCTTCAGCAAGCCTCAGTCTATCTTTCTGCAAAATAGGAGTAATAACAGGCCAGGAGGGAGGACTGGTTAAGATCATCCCCTATGGGCGTTAAGCAGTAATGGGAAGAACCAGGAGGAGTAGCCAGAGTTCAGGAAGCCTTCCAGGCAGAGGGAAGCCAGAACCTTTTACTCCTGGGCCTCAGTTTCTCCATTTGTATGGGGAGGGCTCTTGGTGTATGGTCTGCAAAGCCTTTCCTGCTCCTCCCAGAGACCCCTGCCCTGGCTTCTGTCCATTCTCCTCAGCAGGGCCTTCAGGACTCCTTTCTCCACTCAGCTCCACCAACAGTCCCTGAGAAATCTTCCAGGGCTGTCCCTGGCCTCCAGGACAGCAAAGGGCTGTGGCATCCTTCATAGTCTCTGACATGATTTGGGGGAGGGGTGTGAGTGGGATCAGTAGATTCAATACATATTTATAAATTTCGCATGTGTCATTAATTTGTTGGCAAAGCTGGTTAGCAATAACCTTATCTTCTCTTTGAATAATTATCATCAATCATTTTTTTTTTTTTTTTTTCCCCAGCACGGAAGAGAAGACAGCCCACAGGGTAGTGGTTGAGACCCTGGAACGCAGAATCAAGAGATTTGGTTTCAGGCCTGTCTGTGCCCCATTTGTAAAATGGGAATGATAATAGCACCCACCTCCTAGGGCTGTCGTGGAGGCACTTAGCAGAGTGCCAGGCACACAGTAAGAGCTCAGTAATGTTAAATTGTTATAATAATAATAATAATAATAATAATAATCAGCAAATGGGAAGATGGAGCGCCTGGTTGGCCTGGAACTAGGTGCCAGGGACAGAGATGTGAAGTTGTCCCAGGGGCCCCCAGAGAACCCAGGTGGAAACCGGTGAGTCTATAGGCCAGGAGGAGGCGGAACGTCCAGCGTGAGGCCAGAGCCAAGCCCCAGGCAGGAGAGTGGGCTCCTGCCGCGCGCTCGCAGCCGGGGCTCTCCGATTCCAGGGGCACGCACCAATCGCAGCACTTAAACCCCGGTGTTTGAACGCACCGGTCTCAAACTGGCTTCCTCTCCCGGGAAGACTGGCATCTTAGTCTCCGCCCCGGGGCGGTGTCATAGGAGCGTCCCAGGAGTCCCACTCGCCGCAGCTCCCGGCACCCGCGCGCACCGCTCGCTCCTTCTTAGCCAAGCGTTCCGGAGCCCGCAATGGCCCTTTAAAAGGCAGAGTCTAGTCCAGAGGGGGCGGGCGGGGGGCACTGACCGCCGCCCGAGGCCCGGCCCCTCCTCCCTGCCCCTCCCTCGGTCCGTGGGTCCCCGCGTCGCTCGGCCGCTCGCTCGCTCGCCGGGCGCACGCTCCGCCTCCGTCAGTCGGCTCGGCTGTCTAGCGCGCGGCGTGGAGCCGAAGCCGGGGCCGGACGCGCGGCTAGGGGCTGGGGCCTGGGAGATCGGCTCCCGCCACCGGGCCGGGCCTGAGCCGCGATGGCCGAGATGGGCAGCAAGGGGGTGACGGCAGGGAAGATCGCCAGCAACGTGCAGAAGAAGCTCACGCGCGCGCAGGAGAAGGTGAGCAAGCCCGATCCCCGGCCTCCGCGCGGTCCGGGCCACCTGCCCCCCCTCCCCCTCCAGGGGCTGGTCCTCACCCGGGATCCGGCGCTGTCACCTCCGGACGATCGCGCCGAGGGCCTTCGGGGGTCCATAGGCTGCGGCCCCCAGCGTTCTGGGCGCCTCTCGGATCCACGTCTTCTGTCTCCCCACCCCCAGCGGGGGCAGAAGAGGGCGCAGCTGTCCCCTCACCCCCCCCTCCCGCGGCTCCCCCGGCTCCCCCCACCCCCAGCTTTGTATCTTCTTCGTCTGTCTGCAGGGAAGAGGCGGCCCACGCTCTTCTCGGGGCGCGAGGTCCAGTAAATCCCACCCTGGAGGCCGAGGGCCCGGAGGCTGGGAGGCGAGGTGGCGCCCCCAGCCCCCCGGCCCCACTCGGGCCACGCGGGCGGGGCCGGCGCTGGGGGGAGGGAGTCTGCCCCTTGTGTCCCAGGGCTTCTCTGCTCCGGGAATCCCGAGGCTGCCCCTCAGCGCGCTAGCTCCAGGCCCCTGGGCACTTCCTGAGCCCGCCGTTCCCTCCTCCCCAGCCGCCTCTCCACCTTCTGTCCCCGCCGGCCGAAGGAAGGATCGGGTTTCCTTTCCTGAGAGGTGCCCGAGGCCTGGACGCTCCGGCCTGGCCCCTGGGGAGCACAGCACCGCGCGCCCCACGGGGAGGTGCCTTCGTCCGAGCCTGGGCTTCGCGTTTCCGGCGGCTGGGGAGGGAGTGGTGGCTCCGGCTTTGGGAGCCCACCACCTGGGTGGGGAGCTGGCCCGAAGGAGCTGGGGCCACACCGGGGGCGTGGAGGGCGCCGCAGGAAACCTGACCCCTCAGTGCCCAGAGCAACTGGCAGCAGGAGAAGGGATGGAGCCAGGGCTTCCCCTGGCACCCTGACAGTGCAGGAAATGCAGTATTGGGGGGCGGGGGTCCGCACCCGTTCAGCTTTCTATCCCAAGCCACCTCTGGTTCATTGAATTGGATCACGCCAGCTGCTGACGCCACTTCCCCTGCCGACTCGGACTCTGAAATCTAGGATTGCAGAATCTGCTCCAGCCAGGGTGGTCCCCCAGTGCCCCCCAGCGGAGTCTGCCTTCTCTCCCACCCGACGCTCAGCCAAGAGTGGGAACTCGGGGACAGGCCGGCCTCCTCCAGCCAGTCTGTGGCTGTTTATAAACAATGACTTTTGCAGCTGAGACCTGCGGGTTCCCTAAGGATGCAGCCACGTGATGGGGGGGCAGGGGCTAGAGCTTCCTCAGCGCCTCCCCAAGAGTCCCGCTGCTCATCCTTGTAGTCCGCAAGCTAAGGAGATGGGTGGGTGTGCGTGGAGGTTAGGGCCCTCAGCCAAGCTCCAGAACTGGCCGGCCCCAGCAGCTGTACACCCTTCCCACCGCCCCCACCCACTCCTGCCCCGGCGGGAGGAGGGATTAGAGCACCACAGATAGCTGGCTGGGGGCTGGGAAGACTTCAATAAGCGCTGGTGGTGGTGGAGGGGGGCAGATGCTGCTGCCGTTGCTTCCTCCCCCCACCCCCCTCCTGCCCAGGACTGGGTAATCCATCTAGGTGCCTGGAGCCGGCAGCTCTGGGCTAAGCCGACTTCCTGCTCCTCAGGGGCTGAGGAAGATGAATGGGAAGCAGGTTAGCTGAGATGAGTTTCCTGCCCCCACTCCACTGATGTCCTGCTCTTCTCTGGCTCCCCTTTGCTCTTTCGGTGTCCCCTTTGCCCTGGCTGCCTTGTCTCTGCATCAGCATCTTTCACTAATTTCAGGGGCAGTAGGCATGAGCTGTGTCCCCTCCTTGTAAGTGGCAGTACGTCATCACTGACCCCACTGAGCCTCCTCCCCTCCCTCTTCAGCTCCTGTTCCGTGGCCTGGGCAGTTGGCTGACAGCTGGTCGGCCATGGACGCTGGCCTTGGCCAAAGGCTGGCCCTTCCCAAGCCTGGGCTGCAGGGGACTGGAGTTGTTTAGTGGTACTGCTGCTCTCTTCCCCTCCGACACTGGGCGCTGGTTAGGAGACCCTCCCCCATCGGAAGTCGGAGAGTAGCCTTCCTTCAGTCCCCTCCCTTGTTGGCCCTGCAGCAGTACCCCCTTCTGGGGAAGCCTGATGCCTCAACCCACACCAGCCTCTCCCCTTTGCCCTCCTGTGGTTCAGAGTCTGTTGCAGCATGGGTCAACGGCTGCCTCCCTAGCACCTTCTGGTGGTGTTCAGGACCCCGTCTAATTCACATTGCCAGTGGTCTCACAGGCACCCCTGCTCCCGCCTCGCCTCGGCCGAATCAATCAGTAACGGGGGCAATTCCAGTTGTGTTGCCATAGGAGGGCATTTCCTGACCAGGGACAAGTGGTAGCTTTGGTGCAGGGCCTGGGTACTATCCCCATAGGTAGAAGGGCCTCATCTCTCCTTTTCTTCTTTCCCAGTTTCCCGTCTCAGCCCAAATATCCACCAGGACTCAGAGGGTGACAGTGTGGTCAAGGAAAGCTTACCCTCTGGTGTCTGTGGAGCCAGCTCTCCTGTGCCCCCAGCTTAGTGTGTCTCTCCATGGGTCTTGGCTTGGCATTACCCATCTCATCCTCCCTTGACCCATGCATCACTGGTCTGGGTGCTCCCCCGGAGGGGAGGGCAGATCTGTGTGTGTACCCAGGCATTTACCTGGCCCCAGCAGGTGCAGAGTGACTGTTTATGGACAAACAAGGGCATTTGGGGGCTTGCTTGGCAGCCCTGGTGCAGGCCTGTGGGTGGGCTGATTTGTGCTGTGTTCTCTGCTTTCCCCCGTTCAGCAAACCCTGCCTTGGACATGCGCTGTGCGCCTGGCCCTGGGCCGAGCCCGGGGTGCAGTGGGGAGCGGGGTATGGGTGGTTGTGACTGCTGTGGAGCTTACTGCTGTAAGGTCCCGGGGCCTCTGGCCATGAGGAGGCATAAGAGTATATTGGAAGGGTCACCAGGGTCTGAGCATGGCACTGCACTCCTTGCCTCCTAGCCCCTGGCTGCCCCCAGAATGCTGGGGTACAGAGCGTGTGCCTGGAGCTTGGGCTCGGGGGCGTCATGAGGTCATCTTCCTATTGCGTTTGGCTTGTTGGACCCTCTGTGAATGACTTTATCCATTTTTGGGCCTCAGTAGGGTGGCTGGGCAGAGCCAATGTAGGGTGGAGCCTGGGTCAGATGACAGAGGATTAGAGGTTGGCTGGCTGGGCCCCTTGGGGGAGGGGTAGGTGGGGGAGAAGGGACAGCTGGGGTGGGGGTGGAATCTGGCCCGCTGGCCCCTGCCCCTGAGGCCCACTGCTTAGGAGTCCTCATGGAGGGAGGCCAGAGCTGGGCTGATGATGAGCACAAGGAAGAAGGCTCTGGCGGGAGGTGGGAGTGTGCACTCCTTCTGTCCCCTGTGGCAGGCCCTGAGCCTGCTGGGAGTGGGGAGGCCCAGCTGGGAGGGGGCAGGGCCCAGGGCCGGCAAGTTGGAGTAGATGCTCCCCAGAGGGAAGGTGCAATGGCAGTTATTTATAGGACCCTGACACATGGCCATGATGGCACCATGCTCGTCTGGTGGTCAAGGTCTCCTAACAAAGTAGCCGTATGGGCCTCAGCTGGAGCCAGGCCTGTACAACCAATCCTTACCCTCACGACAGCTTTAAGAGGAGCCACGCCACGCGGAAGAGCAGGTGCCCTGGGAGGGGGTCCATCTGGGTCTGCGGGAGGGCCTGTGAGGCACCAGGCTCCTCTCACCTCCCTGCTTCCCCAGGGCCCAGCCAAAAGTTGCTCCTCTCCCCCCACATTCTGCATTTCTCTTTCCTCATCTTGGTGTCCCTCTCTCTGTCCCTGGGTATCTGAGGACTCTTCCTGCCCCTCTCTTGTCTGTGCCCACACCCCCCCAGTGTCCCCTTTCCCTCAGCCTCTCTCTATCTCCCTGCTCTGTGTCTCTTTCCTCTGAGCTGGCACAAGGCTCTTGCCCCTCTCTACCCTCAGAGCAGCTTCTCCCTGAACCTGAATTATCGGTGCAGGTGGTTGTGGTTCACCTTGCCCGCTGGAGGGAAGGCTTCTGAGCCAGCCATCATTTCTGGTAGGGTGTCTATGGGGACTTGGGGGACATTTGGCTAAGGAATGTGGGCATAGAGAGGTTGGAAACATGGCCTCCAGAATTCCCCGAGCTCCAGTGTGCCCTGGGGG